ATGATATAGGCTGTTTAAAAAGGTAAGATTATTTCTAAAGAAATTTCAAAACTTGCGTTTAACTTTATTAAAGTTCACTTTCGTCTTTCAGATAATCCCTTCTCTGAAAATTTTATGGAAATCTTCAATACAGTGACGTCTTCTAATGGATTAGGGCCGCAAAATTGTGATATAAATAATGTTCTCTGTGCAAACTATCAGAATTATCTCTCCAATGGTTGAGAAATATTTATAAGTATCCAAAATGAATTTTAAATGATCTTCAGTCAAAAATAAACACCAAACGGTCTCTTTATTCAGCGAGAATTCAAATGAGTGGAAAAAACTCACCTTTCTGGTAACTGTTGACCTCTTTATGATGGCTGCTAACAATTCCCTTATCGGAAAATGTACTGTTAATCTGCAGGCTCTGCTGAAATTTGATCAGAAACGATGGTTTTCTTATCGGCAAGGTAATTTGAATATACTTTGTTATAATTCAGGACTTTTTCCAGGTTTTTAAAATACTTTTGAAAAATTGTGACTGCTGAAAAATCAAAAATTTCTGGACTCCTTCGTAACTATTGATTTTCTATCTTCATATTTTTCATTGCTTACCAGATCTCCAAGCATTTTGACAATGTTTTTAAAGATCTGACAGGATTTTTGTATATTTTTGACATTAATGATTAAAATAAAAAATATTTTAAATTTTAATAAATTGTTAAATCTTGAGAACTATATTGACTTTTGAAATGAATTGAAACAAATACTAGAGAATTTAAGCTTTCTTTTGGCATATAATTTCTACAACAAATGATAATTTAAATATTAAAATTTTTACTAACAAATTTGACATACACCAATTTTAACATGAATTAGTTGCTTTTATTTTGCTTTTATTTAATTTTAAAGCTATCTGAAAGCACTTTTGATATTGAATCACTGAGAATTGTCTTCAGATTACCTGTCCATTAAAGATTATATCATTCTGAACTCTTATTTATGAGCTATATCCTATTTCACCTCCTAACACGTTTTATTTTCCGAGCTCTACCCATGTTAACTGTATGTTTACTAACAAATTGAAACTTCTTACTTTGTGAATAAATGACTTAAATATTTTATCTATTTTAGGACTGTTGAAGATTCTATTGACTTGTATATATTAGAATTTGGATTATAATAAAAAATGAAATTAATTAATAAATACAAATTTATGGTTTTTATTTCCACTCGATCCGAAGTGGTTTGATATTTGCTTTTTGTATCGTTATGTTGTGGCTATATTGGCTTATTCTGTAAGTATCTCTTACATAAATAATATAATATATATAACGAACAATAACTTAAGTTTAAATAATAATCAATTTCATGATCAACAATTGTTTTTGGTTTAATTTTTTATATATATATATTTTTTTTTTAATTGAAAAGTGTTTATCAACCAACTATAACTCAGTGGCTACAATAACTCACGTATTAAAAGAATCTTATTTCTATTATGCTAAATTTGTTTATAATAAACCAACTGGTTTTAATTATAATAATAATAAAATTATTTTGAAAACATTAATTAAATCTGGTGATACAATATAGTCGTTATTGGTTTGTTACATGTCTGTGAATTCTGCTTATTTTTGCTTTTAGTTTCTTTCTTATTGTTGAATCTAGTTTCAACTATTAAATTAACAACAATAATACAATTGTTTGAGTTAAATATATATGTGGTATATTCAATATTGTCATTTTGTTTTATGTTCATACTATTCATATAAAAAAAAAATGTTTAGGAGCTTTAATTTCATAACAATATATATATATATATATTATATATATATATATATATATATATATATATATATATATATATATATATATATATATATATATATTTCCAACTACATCAATTCTTTTTTTTTTGTTTTTCGGGCTCTATTCGATCTTCACAAACTTTGATGGTCGCGTTCTTGATGGCGTTCTACGTATTCTATATTTGACAATCAGAGGGAACAATAGATTTAAAGTTATCTTTTAATGCATATTTTATATTTTCTTAATTCTCTATATTCTGCAATTTTTCCAACTGTAATAGTTTAGCTTGATTTTTGACTATGGATCTTCTTCTTAGGGTTCCTGTCCGTTCCGAACGTTGGCGATCATTCTGGCTATGATGACTTTGTTGGTTGCTATACGAAATAGCTGTGTTGAGATCTTTTTATACCATGCTCTTAGATTAGCAAGCCACGATTTTCTTCTTCGTCTTGAGGCCCTTTTTCCTACAATTTTACCTTGTAAAATGCATTGAAGTAGTAGGATATATAGGTGAATGAGATAAATAGGACTGAATATATTCATGGGTATGGATCTATTTAGTCTTAAATAGAAGTTGCAAACGAGTGGGTTGTAATACCAGGAAATATCTGCACCGGGATAAGTTATAACGGCAGTGATAACATTTCGATACCTTTTATTAACTAGGATAAAGTCTACCTGGTTTTTAATGATATTTTCCGTGTTATCCGCTAGAGAATTCCAAGTATACAAGCGTCTTGGCGTTAGCTGATAGTTATAAAATGTATTGGTAATAATAAAGTCTTTTTTTTTTACAGAATTATACCAATCGATTATATCTCTTATTTTTTGTATCAAGACCAAACTAAATAACTAAATTCTTCTCAAATCACGTAAAAACCTTCTCATTCAAGTCTCCCACAATAATCGATGTCACTTGTTTCTTTACAGTTCTCATAATATTAGGTATTTAGTTGGGCATATAATTCTTCTACTTGATGTTCAGACTTCAGGTTGAAAAGGTATGCGCACCAACACATCTGCTGTTGGTGCGTATACTTTTTTTTATAATTATGTTTATTTACAATCTACATAATTACAGAGTATTAAGTAAATGTGGGTAGGTCTCGGGGCAGGTTCTATCTAGTATTCTTGTGGCTGGACCATTGTTGAATAATTCCCTTACTAGCTCATTTGCATATTGAATGGTACGTTTATTTTGTGACGCCGTGGCTCGATGGATTTCTTTTTTAATGAAAAGAATCTATAAGTCGCAGTAAAGTGTTTGATTACTTAGGTACCATGGAATATCCACTATCGATCTTAGCACTTTAGACAAGCATATTTGAATAATATTTAGAGACGTTGGCTTTGCATAGCCTCATAGGTGTAATCCGTAGAACCAGAGAGGTTTGAGTATGGCTTTGTATAGAAGAATTTTGTTTTAAATGTTTTACGTCCAAGGAGCCAATACATTTGCTGAAATTTTAAGTCGAGTTGTCTTCTTTTGGTCTGGATACGTTTCTTTAACTGAGCCTTTGGTCAAGAGCCTTTAACTGAGCCTTTGGAGACCAATGTATCTAGCATCTGTTACTGTTGGTATTCTTACATTTTCCATTCTTACAGGTGAGCATATGTTGTGGCGGTTGATAAATGTTATTTGAGTTGATTTTGTTTTGTTTACTTTTGTTCTCCATTTTGTATACCAATCACTGAGTATGTTCAGATGATGTTGCAGGTTTTATAAGTCTTGTATGGGATCTTCATTAACAGCTAGTATTGCTACCTCATCAGCAGAGGAAGCGATTGTAACATTATTAGTCTTTGATATATCGGCTGTATAGAATGAGAAAAACAGTGGCCCCAGAAAACTATTACACTGCGGAGCTCTGGAGTTGATAGTGAGGTTGGACTGTTCGTCTTTGAATTTTATAGAGAAATATCTATTTGATATATAGGATAGATGTTATTTTTTGTTATTGGAAAATATGATAAGCTTAGAATTTGGTTAAATATAACTGTTGGCAAAGTGATGGTTTTGCGAGGAAGTTGTTTTAGTACTTGTGCCAAGAATATTTAATAATCTGGGGCTTTTCGTGACTTGAGTTTGTTAATTTCTTTCTTGACTTCTATAGAAGAAAAAGTTTTAATTGGGAGGGACATTTGACATGCTGCGCTAATTAGTTTTTCCACTTCTTCATCACGGTCTGCTGGCTCTGTTTGAAATACGTTTGTAAGATGTTTAGCAAAGACATCCGCTATTTCTTTGTTGGAACAGGCCCATTTGACTTTTGTTTTACGGATGGGAGGAATAGTTTTGCGATGTTTTTTAAGCTTCTTAGTCGCCGTCCATAACTTCTGCTCATTTGCTGTAAGGTTTGTAATGTAATGTGCGAAGGTTTCGTTGGTTGCGGCTTTGATGGCTACTCCAAGTTGCCTACGTAGTCTATTGAATATATGTAGATCTATGTTGTTTCTAGATCTTCCTCGGCTTCTCCTCGTACGAAGTTTTTCAGCAATGAGTTGGCAAATGGGCAGGAGAACATTTGTGATATGTGTTCGTTTGCGTTTTGTTCGTGGTGTAGATTTCCATGCCGATCTTCGCACAAGTGTGAGAAGTGTTGAGCTGCTGTATTTATGTCATGTGTAGATTTGATCCGCAAATTAAGATTGGTGTTTTCTTTAAGGAAGGATTGAAAATCTATCCAATTGGTATTTTTTGACAGAAGTCGATGAGGTGGTGGGTTGTTTATATCTATGGTACTCAGGTTTATAATAACCGGTGTATGATCCGATGAGAGATCATTACTGAATTTTATTACTCAGTTGTTTAGTAGTCCAGTATATCTGGAAGTTTTCTGGCGTGGGAAGTTCTGCGTATACCTGAATCAGATTTATATTATTGTGGTCTTCTCACCTTTAGCAACATGACTCTGTCTGATTGCTGCATGTAGAGAATGGTGTTACCTTTGAACCTTTTATATATCTGGGTCTCCGATTCCCACCATCCTACATCCTTACACTGTTGACCGATTTCATCTGTCTTTAAGGCCAGTTTCCTAACTCTAGAATAAAAGAGTGCCCTACCACTTATCAACTAATCCGCTTGAGTTGATACGTCATTACGACCTACACGTTGATCAGTAAGCAATTGCTTATGGAGGCAATACAGCACTTACTTAAAGATTTGTTCTGAATCATGTTAATAAATATTGAAATTCGTGTTTATGTATATATTTTACTTATTAAACGGTTTATTTGCTTGTGCCATTTACATTAATATAAAATAGTTTTCTTAATATTATAAAATCCTGTTTCAACTATAGTGAATATCTACAATTTAACTTATTTTTATCATGATAAATCACAGTCTTAGTTAGAACTAGGTTGTTTTGGAATTACTTCTTATATAAATGATTTAATCTGTTTAATTTAATATTTTTCTTAAATGCAACTTCCATGTTTGCCAAGTTATTAGTGTTTCTGCCTTTAGAACATAAGATGTTGGCACTGTATCACTTTTTTTCTTCGCTTTTTGTGTATCAGATAACACCAGCAGATACGTTTCGTAGTCTTCAACATGTAGGTAATCGAGTTTTATATATCCAATACTATGGAAACTTCCAGGACTTTCCTACGATTAAAAATTCAAATTATTAAAAAAAAGAAGATTATGGTCTGCTTAAAAAGTTTTGTCAATTAAAGAGTAATTTTTACAAGAATTATATAATATAATAAACGATTTTTCCATATTTTTCAGTTTTCAAAACAACAAATTGATTTGCAAACTATTACAAATTGCAGTGTTATTATTTCTAAAATGTTTTAAAAGTTAAATTTAGCTAAAGTCAAAAATATTGTTACTTATTTCCATGATCTAATACTTTGATTACTTTTTAAATAACATGTTATGTGTGATAATATTCTAGTTAACTATCAGCCTATAATAATTCTGATAATATTCTAGTTAAATATCACTAACAGAATGATTTGTATAAAGAAGCTATTAATCCTCTACCGTATACGAATCCTTTTATGATTTGAAAATTTCAAAGTGTTGTAGTATGTATAATATCCACTACCCATCGGAAATTCTAACTACATCATAGCTAGCTAGTCCTCCTTATACAATGGGTCTGTATGATTGGTTGCCTACCAGTCAGGAGAAAAATCATTAAACCTCATTCGTTCGTAGTTTGTACACTTGTAGTGAATGTCCGGTACCTTGTATAATAATATATGACTTCAATTTGCAGCAATATTTTTTATCGAAATAATGAATTTTTTTTTTTCGAAAAATTTTTGTGGAGAAAGTATATTTTTTTGTTATACAAATATTTTTCTACATCGAATTTCACATTATTATCTAGCATTATGATGTTGTTTATTATAAAACCGTATGGTTTCGTATGTATTCTGTCTAAATTGGTAATCCATAGAATCCATAAATGGTTTGGAATGCAATTCAATCTTATTTTAATTATACCGTTTTTAGAAAAATTATCATTTGGTTTTTGTTTTCAGAATGGACCCTGGGAAAGTTTATGGCTCATCTAAATACGTTAACTGTATTCCTGGTGATGGAGAACCAAGTAAAGACGAATAAACCCCCTCTGTGACTCAGTGGTAAGAGCGCCTACCTTTAAATCTAAAGGTCGTGAGTTCGAATCTGACCTGGGTGGAGAAATTTTCGTTTATTAAAAAAATTAATGAATGAAAATAATTTCTATCCTTGTGTGATCGGTACTCACCGGAGGGACCGCAGACGTTCGGATACAATGAGCGTCTTTTAGCAAAGACAATGACGTCGACTTTGCTAAGTATCAAGACAATTACTCCACACACACGCGCGCACACACACACACACACACACACACACACACACACACACACACACACACACACTACATTAATAAACTTATCTTGATTGAGACTGGCTGAATGACAATTGTCCAAGCCAAAACACAAAAAAGTAAAGACGAATTAGATTCAGATTCTGGTAATGATTATATTTCTCGATGTCTTCAGTCCCAGTCTGATGATAGTGTTGGTAATTAACAAAGGAATTTGGATGAAAATATACCTATTTGGTCTTGGATAAATGGAATTGTCAACAAAAAAAAAGAAGAAACCTGAAAAAATTGTATGTGAATCAGGGCATTTGAAGCACTTTAGTTCTTCTTCTTCATGTGCCTTGCTCGATTATCGAGCGTTGGCTATCAAATTGGCTATAGTAATTTTGTTAACGGCAGCTCGGAAAAGAGATGCAGAGGATCTGTTAAACCAATCTCTCAGGTTTTTAAGCCATGACGTTCTTCTTCGACCTGGCCCCTTCTTGCGTCTACCTTGCCTTGTATTATTAAATTGAGTATATTATATCTCTCTGGGTGGCGCATAACATGGCCAAAATATTCAAGTTTGCGATTTTTAACTGTTTTGACGACTTCCGTAACTTTTCTCATCCGATGCAAAACAACTTCGTTACGAACTCTATCCACCCAACTTATTTGTAGGATTCTCCGATACACCCAGATTTCGAAGGCTTCCAGTTTCTTGAGAAGTGTACCTGACAAAGTCTAACCTTCGACACCATACAAAAGAGTAGAGAACACATAACATCTCACTAATCTAATTTTCAGACTTAAAGTAATATTGTTTCCACATAACAGTTTCTTCATCTTAAAGAATACAGCTCTGGCCTTCTTTATCCGTATTCTAATTTCTTTGCTCATGTTCCAGTTCTTATTTAGATTACAACCAAGGTAAGTGATACTGTTAGTTCTCTCCAGTTGTTCACCATAAGCTTTTACCACTTTCGGTTGTATTGGCGTTTTAGTGACGACCATCATCTTTGTCTTTGCGGTGTTTAGCTTAAGGCCATATTCATCACACGTTGCAGTAATCCTAGTAATTAGATGTTGAAGTTCTTCATAATTGCTTGCAATTAACACTGTGTCATCCGCATATGTCAAATTATTAATATTGACGCCATTCATTTTTATACCACCTTGAACATTATCCACTGCTTTATTTAAAACGAACTCAGAATAGATGGTAAATAGTAGCGGGTACAAAATGCAGCCCTGCCTTACTCCTCTTCGTGTTTGAAGTTCTTCAGAAGTGTTCCGGCCAATCCTGATGTTTGCACGTTGATGCCAGTAAAGATTTTTAATAATGCGCCGGTCTTTATTATCAATGCCTACTTGCTGAAAAATGGCTATTATTTCATGTTTTACTCGATCAAAGGACTTTTCAAAGTCAATAAAACACATACAAACATATTTCAGTATGTTTTACTCCATCAACACATATAAGCTGGATGTTCGACATCTAGTATAGTAATACTATATAGTGCTTCTCTTGTTCCAAGGTTATTGCGGAATCCAAACTGTGTGTCACCAAGTTGTTGTTCTATTTTTTGGTATATACTAGAGTGCAAAATTCGTAGAAATATCTTTAAAATATGACTCATCAAGCTGATGGTTCGGTAGTCACTAGTTACATGGTACGAAAGTCCGGACCTGGCAGAATCGCAACCAACAGCTGCAGCTTACTCTGCAGTTTACCCCAGAAGTTGTCATATTGTTTCTTTGTTATTTGCATTGTAAAAATTATTATTATTCTTGGTCTTGTTCAGTTTAGATGTATTAAAATTGTAACTTAGAAATAAAAATATTAAAAAAAAAAAATTCATTTTTTGAAATTTAAAATTCACTACATCTTTTTGCATTTGCTTTTTCAGGTACCGTTACAAAAGTCGACAGCCGCCAATCCGTTAGTATACAGCCAGTTTCATAAATTTTATTAAACAGATGAAGGAGAGATATTTTACCTGAACTTTCGAATAGCTTTATTATTTCACTCCGTATTTCATATGGTCCCGTCGCTTTTCGGGTCATTGCTAATCGTATTGCTTGTTCAATTTCGTCCATAGTTATGTCAGGTCCTGTAACTACTTCGTTAATTTCAAGCTCGGGTCTTTCATCACCAAACAGTTATTCAATATACTCTTTCCATCTGTCGATTTTATGCAAATTAGTGATAATCAGTTTTCCGTCTCTATCAACGATGTTATTTGCCTGTTTTTTGTTTTGACCTGTCAGTTCTTTTATTTTAGCATTTTATTAAAAGTGATTATGCATTTAAAAGCGTAGAGCTACCAGAATGTATTCTTGAATTAGAAACTCCTGAAGCTTTTTCTTGTTTTTGTTTCCAAAAGAATTAATATCGGTGATTATTGAACAATCAAAAATAAAATCTTAAGCTAAAGGATAACATAAACAAACCTGACAATATTACCGAAAACGAAATGGAGCAATTCATAAGAACTGCAATATTTATATTATTTGTGAAATTACCATCATCGAGACTTTACTGGAATGCAACTGTAGGTCAACCAAAAGGATTTGTATCTATGACCTGTAATAGACGGGAAATTATAAAGAAACACCTTTATTTTAGTGATAATGATAGCTTCGTTCCTGTTGGTAATCTAGGCCATGATAAACTGTTTAAAAAATTCGATCTGTATTAGACAAGATTAAACAACGCCTTTTACTGGTTCTCAAGGAGGAACATCTAGCTAAAGACGAACAAATTATTCCTACGAAATGCCGGCACCACATCAAATAATATAATCCGGCAAAACCTTACAAGTGGGGATACAAAAATCAAATACTTGGTGGTGTATCAGGAATAGGGAGTATACAGATTGAACGAAATAAATTCGGAACATAGGAATATAATGTATTTCGGCTCAATTCTGCTGTAAGTGGTTGGCCAACAAAAGATTGTCAAATAATTATATTATAAAAATCCAATACTTCAGCGGGCTGCTGGATTCTGAACTCATAAAAATTGAAAGCTACACATAAATCTACGATTTTAATATGCTGACAGCATGGACTATAACCAGTTATAGTCCAGGAAATGAAGCATTTCACCTCGCAATTTTTTCGTGCTGCGTGGGTTGACTTGAAATTTAACAGAAGGTAGGTAATAGCCTAAGGATCAAAATCTATATCGAACCAAAGTGCGCCAAAGCCTAGGGGGTGGTTGCCACCCCATCTCCGGGGTGAAATTTTTTTTACGTTTTAACTACAGGTTTCGATTAAAAAAGTGATTCTAAAAAAATGTGCTATACATTTTTTTTATAAAATGATATTTTTCAAGTTATTCGCGATTGAAAGTAACAACTTTTAGACGAAAAAAATCCACGTTTTGAATCGATTTTTCGCGAATAATTCGAAAATGGTGCATTTTGTCAAAAAAATTGTAGAGAACAAATTTGTAGCTTTTAAAAAGACAAATACAATTCATTTTTTAAAATGTTTTTGCGATATAATAGGAAACGAAATACGGCCTATCAATGTTCAGCGGTTTTCTTCAAATGCCAAATTTGAAAGATTCAAAGTCAGATCTCGGGAAAATAATGCATTTTTGCAAGAAAACTACAAAACCTTTTTTAAAGAGCATAAACAGACCTATCATAAAAAAAGACTCTAGCTCAAAAATTGAGTGAGTTATGATGAAAATAAGGTCAATACCTCATTTTTTTACGAAAAAATCGATGAAAACAACCCGCTAACCACCCCCATAATTAAAATCGATCTTCACCCTTCTGCAATTCCCTTT